GCATAAACATAATTTGGCATGTGTACCCCCATTTCTTGCATGCATTCAAAATCATAAAACACATAATCCTTCCTCTCTTCTGGAGACCAGATATTACACATATTACACTCATGACCATCTATGATATCGGTCTTCTGAGAACACTGGGGACACTTTTTGCTTTTACACCTGTGATTTTTAACTTTGTAGAAGTCGCACTTACTGCAAAGACTTCTGTTTTTACAGTCAACTTTACCGTCTTTTGCCAGCGTGCTGTGCCTTTCTAAACAGGCCTCGGACTTGCAAAACAGCTTACAACCGGGGCGTCTCTTTTTTTCCCCTTGGCCACTTCAATGCACTCTGCACTATTACACATACTGCAGTGGTTTTTACAGGCGGGCTGGTGTTTGTGGCTGTATGTGGCGTGACAGTAGTTGCACAAATATGCTGCTCCTAGAAAGGCTTTAATATTTCGGATGCCATAATAATGTTTGTCATGTAACACAACAAAAACAGTTTTGAGGTGATGTACACCAGCTGTTGGAAAAAAGCGGCAATTCCCATTTTCATGATACATGATTGTAATAGTCACACCTAAGCACTCTTCAAAAGAGCTCACATCTGTAAAGCTAATCATTTTTTGGTCTGAAAGCCCCAGCTCCTGTTGGAGATGTCTGGTGCGCTCTAATAGTTGGGCATCTGTCAGTTTTTCATTTGATAAGAGACCCAGCATGCTACCGGCAAAACACAGGTTGTCACCCTGGTTATTTAAATCAATTAAATGTTTTCTTTTTTTTCGATGATTCTACTATATGTGATAGTCTTTAAGGGTCTTACAGAGCCAACTTCACCAGCCCTGCTTCTAATAATCATGACAACCAGTCTTAGAGTTCCGGAACCCACGATCTCTGCGTTACTCTGCAACACCGTAACCAAGTTATTTAAAAAAATCAACAATGTTTAAATCTTCCCAAGACCTCTGCAGAGAAAAGAGCGGGTGATTTAGCCCCAGGGCATCTAAGCATAGCTGAACAAAATCTTCAGGCCCCACCTGATTATTAATATAATCTAGCAAATTTTGAATAGCGGTTTCAACAGCCACCATGGCTTCTGTGAACCCCATTACTCTGTCCAAATTAGCGAAACAAAATTCTTGAAAATATTCATAAGTGTTAAACTCTCTTCAGGGTCTTATCTAGTGTCTCACATGTTCCAAATACACCTGAGGAGGTGTATTAGGAGCAGGAGAATCTGTACCTTCAGAAGAGGGGGTTTGGCGGGTCTATGTCTATTTCCCTTTCTTGGTTGGGGGTCATTTTCATAAAAAAGCTCTGGCTTTTTAAAGTTTCTTGGCCAAAAGCCTCCTCAATCTTTTAGATTTCTTCCACTTTTTTCCCCAACCCCTCTTTACGTTGTTAGGTATCATGTTTAGTCACACCCTCCCTTCTCCCTTCAAAACGCTTTCCACCTTTTCAGACAGTGCACATGTATCTGTTACTTTTTGGTCTAAAACCACCCTTTCTTCTGGAGAATGTTGCTTTTGAAACACCTCAAGAATTAGCTTCGAAAACTTTTTATCTATTAAATGCTTAAGAGATGTACAAACACTAAGCAGCTTATTACAAACAGCAACTGATGCAGCAAGACCTGCAGGTAGGTTGTTATTTGTAGCAACGGTTCTTCAGCGACCAGAATCAGGGGGGGCTGACCCCTTGACCCTGCTCAAGCCCACTCCTGGACACTGTTGCTGCTACAGGGTTCTTTGCCTTTACCCTTTTTAAAGCTGAGTCCTTCTGGGCTATGATGGCATACGGTTCCTCAGAACTAGGGGCTTTGACCACTTCGCATCGCTTACCAATGTCCCTGGAAGCGGCAGAGGTAGATTTCTTGGCTCTGGAGGGGCAGGGCTGTTCAAAATCGGGGGGGTCTGATCCCCTTTTCCCACCCCTGGAAACTGTCACTGCTTCAGGGGAAGATTTCTTGGCCATTTTTAAGGATGGGACCCTTGCTTTCAACACTGGAAATTGCAGCTGCCTCAGAGGGAAATTTCTTTGCCCTCTTTAAAGGTAGTTGGCTCTGTGTAATGAAGGTTTTGGATGTGCAGGGCTGTTCAAAATCAGGGGGATGGACTGCCTTGTTCCAAACTGTAACTGATTTAGGGGGAAATTTCTTTCAACCTTTTGCTCTAAATGTATCAAAGTACAAGCACATGACACTCCCCCTCGTCAAACATAACATTTTTTCAAAATGGCCAACGGCGCCAAACTTCAGTGCCAAGGAAAATGAGGATGGAGAGTGGGACATAAGCCCTAAATGGGGCATGGAAACCTGTCAAAAATGCATTATGATGAATGCTATCGAGCCGTATACTACTGCCATTAACAATTTTCATGAAAAGATTTTCCTTGAATAATGAGGGAGATTATCTGAGAAGTTTGGAGATCTGAATTATCATCAGTGACTGTTTGCAGTTAAGGTTATTTGCAATGAAGGCTTTTCATGAACGAATGTCTTCTGAATTATCAGGAATGATTTCTAACTGCTTTGCAGTGTAGATACTCTGAAAAATTTCTTGCCCTGGAGGATTAGCATTAGCTTCTTGTTTGGCTACAAAGAAGAATTTTCATGAACCAAACACATCTGAATGGTCATGAGAAATTTGTAATTAGGTTCTAATGCTGATTTTCAGAGAATCATTGTTCTCGTTGTTCTTTTTGTTTGCCGAGAAGAATTTTCACTATAACTTCTGCCCTGAAATGTGAACAGCGATTCCTAACTGGTTTGCAATGTAGATTCTCTGAGAACTTTTCTCCCTGAATGATTAGGAGTCACTTGATTTGTTGCAATGAAGAATTTTTACTAAGCAATCTCCCCTGAATGGTCTCCGGAAATTCCTAACTGCTTTGCAATATAGACTGTTTCATCCTGAAAGATTAGCAGTGAGTTGTTCTATTGTACCAAATGAAGAATTTTCACAACAGCTTCTGGGAAATGCTGCGGAGTGGGGCTCGGGGCAGAGCAGAGAGAAGACATCTCCCAGGCAAGCAGTGCCACTCCACAGCAAAGTCAGTGCCTCCAATCGGCAGCTCTTCTGGACTTCTGCTGCTGGCAGTGCCACCCTGACGGGAGCTGGCAGCAGCAGACACTACATCCCCCACGGTGCCGTGGGCCCCATGGGGTGGTAACAGGGTGGATGGTGGGGCTTTTGGAGTGGAATGGGCAATTGGGATGCTGGGGTTGGTGGTAGAGGTTGGAAGGGATTGGGGTGTGGGGGCTGATTGGTAGGGATCTGAGGCGGACTAGCAAGGTGCTGTGCGGCCGGGCATGAGGCAGAGGCAAATACCTGGGGGAGCAGAGGTCAAGCAGGTTAGAAACCACAATTCCTGTGATGCATTGGTTCATTGATGGAGTGGCTTGCTGGGGGATGAGAGGGAAGGAAAACAACTCCCATGATGCACTGGGACTGAAAAGAGCTGTGTGCAAAATGGTTGTCCCCACCCCTCAGGTCACCCTTTCATCTCAGTGTCAGCCCGCACCACTTCCTCTTCCAGTAACTTCCGCTTCCTGGCCCGCAGAAATAAGAGGCACATCCTCAATAGCATCCAATGGAAAACAAGAGGTGTGTCCTCAATTGAAGGATAAAGACGTTGTGAGAAAAGAAGTCAGAGAGAAGTGAGAAAATAATGGATTGGACAGGACATAATATAAATAAATTGCAGATGTTTTTAATTAATGCATTCCATAAAAGAGTATAAATGATGGTGGCTTATTGTTTGTACTTTGGAGAAACTGATGCTCTCTGTCAGCTGTATTTCTTCCCTGGCAATTGCCTGAAATAAAGCTGTCTTGGATTTTGTTGCATTCCAACCTGAGAGTGAGGATTTATTTTCTTCCACACCTCCATATGACAGGTTTCAGAGTAACAGCCGTGTTAGTCTGTATTCGCAAAAAGAAAAGGAGTACTTGTGGCACCTTAGAGACTAACCAATTTATCTGAGCATAAGCTTTCGTGAGCTACAGCTCACTTCGTCGGATGCATACTGTGGAAACTGCAGAAGACATTATATACACAGAGACCATGAAACAATACCTCCTCCCACCCCACTCTCCTGCTGGTAATAGCTTATCTAAAGTGATCACTTTCCTTACAATGTGTGTGATAATCAAGTTGGGCCATTTCCAGCACAAATCCAGGTTTTCTCACCCTCCGCACCCCCCCCCCCACACACACACACAAACTCACTCTCCTGCTGGTAATAGCCCATCCAAAGTGACCACTCTCTTTACAATGTGTATGTACAATCACTCTGGATAAGCTATTACCAGCAGGAGAGTGAGTTTGTGTGAAACCTGGTGAGAAAATCTGGATTTGTGCTGGAAATGGCCCACCTTGATTTTCATACACATTGTAAGGAGAGTGGTCACTTTGGATAAGCTATTACCAGCAGGAGAGTGAGTTTCTGTGTGTGGTTTTTGGAAAAAAAAGGGTGGGGGTGAGAAAACCTGGATTTGTGCTGGAAATGGCCCACCTTGATTATCATACACATTGTAAAGAGAGTGGTCACTTTGGATGGGCTATTACCAGCAGGAGAGTGAGTTTGTGTGTGTGTGTGGGGGGGGGGGTGCGGAGGGTGAGAAAACCTGGATTTGTGCTGGAAATGGCCCAACTTGATTATCATACACATTGTAAGGAGAGTGATCACTTTAGATAAGCTATTACCAGCAGGAGAGTGGGGTGGGGGGAGGTATTGTTTCATGGTCTCTGTGTATATAATGTCTTCTGCAGTTTCCACAGTATGCATCCGATGAAGTGAGCTGTAGCTCACGAAAGCTTATGCTCAAATAAATTGGTTAGTCTCTAAGGTGCCACAAGTACTCCTTACCTCCATATGAATAATATTTTGGAATAGGGCATTTGACTTTGCTAGATAATACCTTCTTATGTTGTACATTTGACTATGAAAGATAGTTCAAAGATTTATATTAAAAATTATGCCAGAGACAGGAATATTAACCAAACCTTGTATTTTTTAAAATTTTTAATATATATTTTTATAAACAAGTCACGTGATAAAATAGCACAAGAAACACATACCAAATATAAGATTATATCTTCAGAATATACAGAAGAATGAGGTCGTATGTACAGTAAGAAAATGTTTTTCAGATTTTTTTCTCTCCCCATCTATTTTCGTTCTATAGTAATTTGAAATATCACAATGTCAGAAACTTCAGTAATACTTTGGCCCAGTGGACACCTAACTGGGGTGCTAAAGAGCTTGAATCAGAACCAAGCCAGTGACAGAACCCTGTAAGGATTGGGATGATCTGTGTCAGCCAGTTTAGGAACATTGGGACAGATCCTCAGCTGGTGTAAATCTGCATAGCTCCATTGCCAATTTACACCAGCCCATCAATATTTCCTCCCCTGATTCTTTTAAATATTATATTTTTAAACTCATTGTTCCAATTAGAAATTAGTTGCTTTTCTCTTGAATTCCCTCATTGCCTCAGCACTGTGTTCAGGCTCATAAGAAAGCCTTGGTTCTTTTATGATTGGTGTCAAACACATTCTCTGACCTCACAGGTTTTTGAAAAAGTCACCCAACTAAAACATCATAGTTGCTTTGCCTGGGTGAGTAACGTCTCTTTGGAAAGTTCAGAATTAAAAAAAACAACTGGAAAGGGTCATACTGTTGGGAATAATCTTGGGACGTCTCTCCAGCTCATAACCTGATATAAATCAGTAAGACCATGATGTCATGCCAGTTTACACCAGTTAGGGATCTTGTCATATAATGTGTATAACATAATACATATAATGTATTTCTGTAAATTATTTAAAAATCAAAAGTACTTTCTACTGCAGAATGCTTCCTGGTTTTTGCGTCTCACACTGCTTGGACAATCCAATTGAACTCGTTTCCCTTTCTGTTTAAAGTCAGTTTCATTCTCTGGTTCTCCTGCCTTAGTACAATGCTCTTGTGTTGAGTCTTTCAACACTGCAGGAGACAGTTTAAATCCCAAGCTGCCCCCCCCCCTTGGTCCACCCCTGCAATTGGTTTCTTGTGCTCCCCTTAGTGCACAGACTCTGTTAGGTGCTGACACTGATCCTAGTCACTCCAAAGAAGGCAAAGAGGGGTAAGGGGGGCGTGTTATTATGCCTGCTCCTATTGCACTACTGACTACATTGTGCCAAAACAGTTGTGCTTCCCAGAACTCTGGTAGGCATTGTGCCTGATTAAGAGCCAATGCTTCTGGCAGCTCCTGCACTATAGGTGTACCACCGCATAACTCCGAGTCAGAGGTTGCCCTAAACGCACAGTGTAGCCCATATAGTTTTATAATTATCCTCTCCCCTCTTTTTTAAAATAAAATGTAATAGCTTCTCACACCCTTTAGAAGCAAGACACTCTCATTGTGCTCAGTGCCTCATGTAACAGAGCTCCTGTGTATCAGCTGTACCATGACTGCAAAGAAAGGCTTTTCACTTTGCAAATCTGCATCTCTGTGCCCTTCCAAGGTTGCCCTCCCTGCAGAATACTAACTTCTTGTGTGACACTCCCAGTTTGGAGGCCTAGCCACCGGTAAAGTTCGCTTGATTGTAAAACCACAGTGGAAGCAGCAACCATACTGTTTGCTTCACTCCGATGCTGGGCTGCCACACAAAGTCACTTTGTCAGCTCCTTAGCCACCAGCAGGAGGGTAAAGACGTGCCACATTTTAAAATCTGACATTTTATTTTCCATCTCAGCTGAAGTTCCCCAGGATAAGTTTTAAGGGCAGTAAAATGAATCACCTTCTTGGAGGCACTATGAAATGAGTATGGAAAGGAGAGAAGCATAGAGTCAGGCGAATAAATATAGTTACTAAACAGAATGATCATAAGGGTTAGAGGTAGAAAAGACTTAGTAGTTGATCCAGCCCATCCCCTAACACAGGATAGCAGGGGAAGACTGGCTCACACCCATACTATAGAAGTTCCAAGATCCTGTCCTGATTCTGCTCCACAACGTAAGGAAGGTCCTGTCACACTCAGGTCCAAGAGCCAACCTCATGAGTTCTCCTTTCCCTTAGAAGAAAAAATACACCATTTCTTTCTGAAGACACGCTCTGCTTGCTGGCTTCTCCAACATGCCCAAGCCTTCCTCACAACCCCCTTCCACTGTTGAGAACTCCAGTGAGCAGATGGAAAACTCTGGACAACCTGATGCATCAGATTTATGGGCAGGACTAGCTTTTGGGTGTAAGGGGTGGGAGAGTCCCATTCTCAGAGTTTCATTCAAAACCCCTGTGCATGAGGCTATCTTCTACCTGGTCCCTGTAGCAGTATCACTCCTGAAATGATACATAAAAACCATCTGCAATGGCAGATTGGTGCCATGGAATCTATGCCACAATAGCCTCTTGACCACGTTATAACATGGTTTGGTCTTGCCTGCACAGATGGGACCAAAGCATGGTATCATCACGTTACAGCTCTGTATAGACCAGAGGCCAATTTCAAATTCAAATTGACGTCAATGGTGTTGCACTAGGGATGAATCTGGTACATAATGTGATTAAAAGCAAATGAGCTTGTGAGATTAGCACAAAGTTGCTGCACTGATCAATTTCTACATCACTTTGCCAGATGGATAGGCCCTTCATTTGGCTCTTAGTCCTCAACCATGACCTCATGCTCAGCCATTTCCAGTAAAACTCGAGCTCCAGGAGAATGGCACTAACGCAGAGGGGAAGCATACAGGGTCCTACACAAATATGAGGCTTAATCATCGCAATACAGAGAAGCAATTGCTAGCTCAGTCCCCAAAAGGAACCAGCCTAATCCACCAAAGTGCCAACTGCCCTCAACTGCAATTGAAGACAACAGCTCCGCTCAAACAACTACAGGATTTTAAGGATCGGGGACCCAGCCCACACCAAAATATATTTCAATAAGACCACATGGCCAAATTAAGCATTGTAAGAGCTCGTGGTGGAAAGACAGCTAATGATAAACTAATCTGGGAAAGAGCTGGAGAAAATTATAGCAATACTATTTATAACAATTTACAAACCCAGAGAAGAACAGCCAACTCTCAAACTGATGATCTTCTGGGTCAGGAAGGCGTTTACCCTTGCCCACCTTCACAGGCACCATTGCACAGTTAGCCAGGCACATTATGGAGTCCCCTTCTTTGAACCATCAGGTTTTAGTTGCTGTCAGATGCAGAATATTGGACTTGGAGCAATGGTCTGACTGAGTATGGCAAATCCTGGGTTCAGATAACTGCAACCTCCTTGAAGATGGAGTGTCATCCAGTGGGTAGAGTACTGGATACAGATTCAGGAGACCTGGGTTTTATTCTCTGCTACTGATCTGCTTTGTGTCCTAGGGCAAGTTACTTCATCACTCTGTGCCTCAATTTCTCCTTTGTCTGCCTTGTCTGTTTAGATTATAAACTCTTTGGGGGAGGGATTGTCTGTTACAATATACAGCATCTAGCATGTTGGGGCAATAGCAGTAATAATCCTTGTGTCCTTGTGGGTTGTCACCTTTGTCCCGTGCCTGCTCACTTACGGTGAATAAGGTAACACATAAAGCTCTCTACTAACATTGAAGAAAATGGGAGTCGCAGGGGCTCAACACCTGACAGGATCAACTCCATAAAAATGCTTAACCTGTCTTCTCTTGCCTATCCTTCGGCCAACAGATCTCAATTTACATGTGCAAAATTTACCAGCTGGGTCTGGGACAAAGTTTAAGCAAGAAGGGAAAAAACAATGGATTGTAAAGTGCGGGCCTCTGGGCTGCTCCAGTTTACCAATCAGTATCTGAACTCAGAAGGGAAGAGAGTTAAATATAGATCATGGTGGATGACGCCATAAGTGTCCCAGGGCAGACAAGTCTGTCTGAAGAGAACCTGAGGAGCAGGAAATAGTTCAAAGGGCAGGGAACTCCTTTAGACATCTCCATGGACAAGTAAACTCTGAAGGTGACCTCTGGATTCCTGCTTGATCAAGTACACAGAAGCAGTCAGAGCTCAGTGTGGGAGGCTGCCTGCAACAACCTGTGTGATCTGATGGCTTATTAACTGAGCAGCAGTGAGATGCCAGGTACTGTTGACATCCCTGTCCTAGCAGTAGCAGCTTAGTAGGGAAAATGTAATTGGGGTGGAGTTGGGGGGATGCAGAGATTCACATGGTCCATAGTTGCACAGTGAGTTCAATCTGCAGGTGGCTGCAGGGGCAGCTCTAGAAATATTGGCACCTAAGCAAGAGAAGGCTTTAATACCCTCCCTAAAGTCTTCCTGCTCCCTTCCTCCCTCCCGCCGATCCAGCTCTACAGCTCACCTTTCTCCAATGCAGTCTCTCTTTTCTTGCAGAAAGAACGAGGAATACTTGTGGCACCTTAGAGACTAAAAAATTTATTTGAGCATAAGCCTATCTTCCTACTGTATTTTCCACTGCATGTATCTGATGAAGTGGGCTTTAGCCGACAAAAGCTTATGCTCAAATAAATTTGTTAGTCTCTAAGGTGTCACCAGTACTCCTCGTTCTTTCTGCTGATACAGACTAACACGGCTACCACTCTGAAACTTCTCTTTTCTTGCTCATTCATCTGCACTAGGCCCTCTTTGTTTCCAGACATGCCTCAGGACCCTCTGCACTTGGTTGCAGTGTTATTTCTGAGGAGGATCGGGGCTTCCAGGCCCCGTGTAAGAAGCAGAACCCCGTGTAAAAACCCATCACCATACAACTGAGCAGAAGTAGCTCTAGGAATTCCTCAGTTAGAGAAGACCATCATGAGAAACAAGCCTCTTGGGGTGATCCCTGAGGTTCCAGGCCTAGCCCAGCAGCACCTTAGACCTGCTTACCCTATGTCCACAGCTGCTCCTCTTCAGAGGCCTTGGGAGTGGGTATCCCAGCAGGTGGGCTGGCATAGCTGTTAGTCCCTGTGGATTTCCTGGGAATGGTCAGAGTTTTCCAGTGTTTCCACTGGGAAGACTGAAAATGTCAAATGAACAAAGCTCCAGCTGTCTAACCAGTGGTTTTGGCAAGTTGAGCAAAGGACCTGCCTATAGTGCAATTAGCAACCAAAGCTACAGCTTAGCCAAGTTAGTGGCTCCCCTGTCATGCCCCTCATACACCCAGAAATCATGCAGTAACTGAGAGGGCGGAGGGAGGGAAGGAGAGGCCAATGGAGCAGGAAGTTGCAAAATAGCCTAAAGATCGATCACTTAAAGCTTACAAATCTTTATGGCAATGAAAGTTTGTAATAAAAAAGTGATTACTAAATCAGTTCTTTCTTGTCCACTAAGAAAGCTGTGTCCATACATATTTATTAGAAACAATTAAACCAGTTCATTACTGAGCAGCTGAGCTGTAGTCCGAGGTGTTGTGGGTCATCTCCCCTCCTCTGTGGTGCAAGTTGTGCAGTTGCACCAGGGCCCAAAAGGTTATGTGGCCACAACTAACCCAGGGAAAGGGGGTAGCCCGTCCGGCCAGAACAACCGTAGGTTCCAGGTGGGAGCAGACAGCAAGGGTGTGTGGAGAAGGCATGAGGGAACTGCAGCATGGGGGACGGAGATGGGTAACACACTGTCCCAACTCTCCATGCTGCACAAGGTAAAAGCATCAGCTGTTTTGCATAGGGCTGAAAAGTTGGGGGGAACTGGGGATGGGCAACTAGAGGGGCTAGGTAGGAACTGGGTGGAGCTAGGGGGCTGGATTGGAACTGTTAAAAGGAGGGGGTGTCAGAATGGAGCTTGGGGGGGTCTAATTCAGAGCTGGGGAACAGAGGGGGGTTGGAACAGAGCTGGAGGGGACCAAGGGAGGAGCTGGGGTGGCTTGTGGGGGCCTGAAACAAGGTGGGGTGGATCAGGGAAGTGGGGGGCAGCAGGGAAGCTAAAAGGGCCTAGAGGAATCATTGGATAAGAGCTGGAGGAACTGAGGGCTGGACTGAAGGAGGATGGAGGAAGAGCTGGGTGGGAGGCTGGATCAGCATGGAGGGGAATGAGGGGGACCGTGGAGGGATCTGGGGGCCTGTAGGGGGCCATGAGCGAGCTGGGGAGTCTGAGGGTTGGATGGGGGTTAAGGGAGAGCTAGGCAGGAGCTGGGAGGTTGGATGGTAGGGATTGAGGCTATGGGGAAGATGGAAGGGACAGATTTCAGAATCGGGAAAGGGGCCCCTAACCTTTTTTTGGCACCAGCAGAGAGTCTCCTGGCTTTGTTCAGCACATGAGAAAGCCCAGTGGTCTGGGATCCAGACCGCCCTGCCTGCTGCAGTGTCTGGTACCAAATGCATGTTGGGAGTGGAAGTGGATGTCATAGAAACAGCATAGAGTCCAGGGGCACTAATCCCAGCTAGTAATAAAGACTCCATGACAAGCCCTTCCAGTTACACCCCTGGCTTCACCTAATCAGCAGCTGTTACCTACTGCCCTATGCTGAAACCAGGGTGCCTATTAACTGCTAGACTGTAAGGGCCTTAGGGCAGGAACCAGGTCTAGTTTGCAAAGCGCCATGTCCATTTATGGTTCAATACAAGAGCTTCTAACAGCAACAGGGCAGATTGCTGCTGAGCAATGCAAGGCACTCCTTCCCTTCTTAGGCTGTGTGTGCTGCCTCCTACAGAGCTCCTGGCCCTGCCTGCTCGAGAAGAAGGGACTGAGATTAGGACTGAAAGTGTCTAACCACGGGAACCTTCAAACAACTGCTGTGGTCAGCACCCTTCCCTTCAGGCCATTCCTGGCTGAGGTCAGGGATGAGGCAGTGTAGAAAGTGCTGATGATGTTGGGAGGACTTGTGAGAAGAGACACAGAGCGGTCACTGCCTGGACTCTTTCTGCTGGTGTCTGGGAGATGGCTTTAGATGCTGGAATAGCTACACTGGCATTAGGTCCTGGGGCTGCTTCTCCTGCATTGCAGACTCCATTTTTCCACACCACAGGAGATGGATTTGCTCTGGCTTTTGATTACAATGGGACAGGAGACTGTCAAGGCACCCAGGAACTGTGAGTCAGCCACAGGGTATGAATGAGTGACGCTCCTGACACCACCCCTACAGAATCCCAATCTCTTCATCACACGTTCCTGCATCCATCCCTAGAAAACAACATGCTCCTCTCTCCAGCCCAGGAGCTCCACCCAGCTGGCTGTATTGCCATCAACTTCCTTCCTGGAGGAGAGGGGAGGCCCAGATGGTGACTGAAGAGGGAGGGGGGGCATCCCTCCAAAGCAGTAAATTCAGTCTGTTGGGGGACATGCATGGGATGAGATATATGCAAGTACATGAAGCTGGGAGTGGGCTTCCTCCAACCTCACTGCAAGCAGTAAATGGAGCAGAAATGCACCAGCACAAGAATGAGCAGTGATGGGAAGAGAGCCTGGCTCCCCACAAGCTGTTGGCTTTCCCTGGCCCTCACTTCCCCGCAAACAAAACCAAAACAAAAGAGATTTCATCCCCAGAAGACTAAAGAGCCCAGCTGATGAGAGCTGGTTTGGGCTGTGGACAGTACAGCTGAGCCGGTCTTTCCTCTCTCAGATCCCCCCTGCCCCTCCTGGACTGGGACCTGAGTGCAGCACAGGGGACATTCTCCAAGCACCCAGGTGCTGCTCAGGCACTGGAGCCCTAGCCACCTCCTGATGCATCAGGGGTAGGGGACTCTGCTGGCAGCTTCTGACGGTGGGTAGGCCACAGGGAGATGTAAAGGGGTCCTTTGAGCCAGGGCCCAGCAGCAGGTCAAAGTGGTAGCTGCCTGAAAGCAGCATGGGAAAGCCTCCCCCTTGGAGCCACAAGTGGTCTGGAGGGCAGAGTAGCAAGAAGGGAAAAGCCAGTATCTAGGGTGACCACCCTGTCCTGAATTGGGCAGGACAGCCCAGAAATGCAGAGTTCAAGACCCGGTACTGGGCTGAATGACTCTGGGACATTTGTCCTGGATTCCCAGCAGTGCTGCTCTGCCCCTGCCTGAGGTTCAGGGGGCAGTGCCAGCCTCTTCCCAGGAGCTGAGATGGGCCTTAGCCCCACCCCACCGTGACGTCCCGCTCCTGCTCCTCCTCTCCCCCCCGCCCTCTGAGGCTCTGCTGCTGGCCAGGCTGGGCAGTAGTTAGAGCCGTCCAGGGAGTCTGGGCTGCTGTGGATTCCTCTACCTGCCCTGAACTGCATGCCCCAAGGAGGTGGGGACACAGGCCCAGGGCTCCCCACAGCAGCCCAGGTTGCCTGGGAGGCTCTTACTACTGCTTGGCTCTGGCTTCTGGCCTGCCCAGGGGGTGGGGCCTCAGGGGGAAGAGGAAGAGGAGGGGCTGGGGCCACTGAAAGGGGTGGGACCCCTGCATGTGTTCCATTGTTGCATTTTGAAAAGGTGGTCACCTTCGTACAGTAGTCTCAAAACTTTTTTGATTGCATCGCTCCTTACTTGGTCCAGGGCCCCCAGGGGGTGGGTGAGTGAGGCAGGACAGGGGAGGGGAAGCCATGCTCCGGGGGTGGGGAATGAGTGGAGCAGGACAGAGGCGAGAGAGCCATGCTCTAGGGGTGGGGGTAAGTGGGGCAGGATGAAGCAGGGAGAGCTGTGCTCTGGGGGTGGGGAATGAATGGAGCAGGACAGGGGTGTGGGAGCCATGCTCCGGGGTGGAGGGGTGAGTGGAGTAGGACGGGGAAGCCTCCAGTACCTCTCTTGGCTGGAGCGGGTGCTGAGTGCTCCTCCAGGCTCCAGTAGCAGCTGCTACTCTTCCTGCCTCCACAGCCCCCCCACCCCCCAGTGGCAGAGGCTTGTTACTGTGAATAACCTGGTAACCCTAAACTGGGGCTGGGGGCTACAACTGGGGCTGGGGCCTGGGTGGGGCTGGAGATGAGCTGGGGACAGAGCAAAGGGCACCCTGGAAGTTCCTCCGCACCCCCCTGGGGACTGCACCCCACAGTTTAGGGCCCACTGCCTTCGTAGGATTCCAGGCTGGTCTGATTGATGTGCTGCCAGCCTTCCCTCTGTCCTAGAACTGAGCTGGCCTCGAGGTGAGCCTGGGGAAAGATGCTGCCAGGCATACGGCATGCTGCCACAAATCAAGCCCAGTAGGACGCCATAGCTTTCTCACCCCTTCTCGAGCCTGCAGCTCTAGAAGGGAGATAGTTGAAGGAGGCTCAGGCTGGTGAAGGAGGCGGAGCTGCTTTAGGCTCCTAGCTCCCACAGTTAAACCTGTACTCCAATAAATGTATGTGGATTGGATACAAAGCCACACCAGCTTCACACTGGAAGAGAACTGGAGCTGGGCAGAGGGCTGCCCCATAGACCCTCCCAGTCCCTACGCATTCCAGAACCTACCTTACCACAAGACTGAAGCAAGCTAGCATGCGAAGGCTGCAGGTTGTTCTGAGAAGAACATCTTATTAACAAAATGAAAACAGCAGTAGGCGACCGTCTACCCCAGATCATGTGACCTTGGGGCTATTGGGTTTTCAGAGGATTGGGTGGGGAGTTGGGTTTGTTTGTTTCTCAGGAAACTTGCTCACGGATCCATGTTTTCAATGAAGACAAGACGATCATGGACAGCATATCAGCTCCATCTTCGGGAGCAGAAGACACCCCGCCTGCCAAAAGCCTCAGAACGGGCCCTGTGCTTCTCTTTCACAGCGTTGGTCGGTTTATTTTTTAAAATGTCTCCAGCGTGGCAGACCCTGCAGTGTCCCGCTGAAGTAATTAAGAGACAGAGCAAACACATGGCATCAGGAATTTCATCCTTTCTCCTTCGAGTCTCTCTGTCCCTCAGGATTCTCCTCTTTTCTTCTAAGCTTTCTGTCTCAGCTCCTGCCAACATATGCCATGATGGAAACACAGAACCCAGAATGGGGAGGGGCTCCAATCAGGCCCCTCCCCCAGACTCACCGCCAAGACCCCCAGAAGTGTGGGGGGTCTCAGAAGGAACTTCTAACTGCTGTGACATGAGACATTGGGCAGAAACCACATGGGATCCAGCACTGAGTGGGACACCATGCAGGACATGAAACCGTGCCAACCCACCCCAACTCTCCAATCATGGTCATTCATTTGCTTTGTTTTGTTTGCTCATTTTTTGTTGGTTTTTTGTTTGGCTGTGTTTTTTAACTTTTTTTTTTCAGGACAGACCATTACAAAGAAGATGAGTGATGATGGAGGCGTGGAAAATTTACAAACTTTGCAGAGAGATTCTTGCAGGAGGTTTTGTCTTATGGAACAGATGGGTGCCCATCTCTACGGAGATCGCAAATACCCCTCTCTCTAGGTGTCCTCATCCAGTGCGTTGATGTGATTAACTAGCTCTTGATTGCTGTACACATGGTGAGTGGTTTAAATCAACATAGTCGTTAGCATCTCTCCCAAAACATAACAAAATTAAAACAAAATGATAACTCTGGTTGGTTGACCAGTGTTGGGTTGGGATTGAAGGAGACAGCTCCAAAGGTTGGCCAATCCTTGGGGCTGCTTATTCGATTACCATGCAGTGCGGCAGGTGCTGGGAGAAATACTTGAACAGCTCCGGGGTGGCACCAGGACAGTTGGTCAGCTCCAGCTCCTCCAGATCTTGAAGTTGAACAAGGCCTGAGAGCCCAGTGGTGGTCAGCAGGGGGCAGCCTGAAACCAGAAGGTGGAAATGCCCAGTGAGCAAGAAGCTATGATGTACGGTAGACATGGAAGAACTTAGCCACCCCTCTGCTTTGTGGGGTGTGGGTTGGATTGCTATCAGTCAAGCCCATCTCAAAATACCAGCTGCAAAAGGGAGAGTAATGCCATCAGGCTCCATCACTTGTCCCCTGCATGTCGGCCCTGTTAGGATCATCTGGGTGTATCCCACTAAATCAATTTCCTACCATCAAAGGAGCTTAGGGCAATGGTGAACCTCAGTCCTTCCTATTCTCTGACTTGGCACACAATAGTTCAGTCTCCTGAGGGCTCCAATGATTTGATCTAATGCTGGTTGCTGAGATTGGTGTGCAGGTGCTGGAGGGTGTTGGTGGCCTGTGAAAGACTGGAGGGTGGGACAAGATGATCTGGGGGTCTCTTCTGGCCTTAAACTCTAGGGGTACGTCTACACTGTAAAACCCCCTCACGGCAGTGAATCTCAGAGCTCAGGTCAATGGACTCGGACTCGTGCTACACAGCTAAAAATAGCAGTGTGGACATTTGGGCTTGGGATGCAGCCTGGGCTTCAAGACCCTCCACCCTCACTGGGTTTCAGACCCTCCAGCCTGAGCCCAAACATCTATACAGCTATTTCGAGCCCCACAGTGCAAGTAGTCTTTTTTTACAGTGTAGACATACCATATGACAGCAGAGATGTCTGTCGGGGGAGACAGCCTGAGTCTCTGGGGCTGGGGAGGGCTGCTGTATCATGCTCTCCCATCTGCAGGTAGCATGACCAATCCACCCAATTAGACCTCCTCAGCAGCACTGCATCCATCCACTATAGGACATAAGGCCAGGATCTGATCTCCTTTATGCTGGCATAACTCTGTGGACATTAATGGAGTCACTCCTGATTTGCACCACTGTAAGTAGCGCAGAGACCATTTGTCCCCAAGTCTCATTCAGAAAGCCAGTAAACTTAAAGTGACTAACAGGAAACCTTTTGTGCTATTTTCTTATTCAGTCATCAGGGTTTGAATGATGCTCAAAAGTGCTGCTGCTGTTTTGATTCAGAGGGAAACATGTTTTTTCTCTTTGCAGAAACCAGCAGAGGAAGCAGTCAGGTGAGCCATGGAGTAGGAATAGCTCTGCTGAGAGCATAACAATGGCTCCATGATCATACCTCACAAATGCCCTCTTGACAGAGGCCAGCCCTTCTTTTGGACCCAAATCTACCATCATCTCACAACTAAACAAATGATCTAATCTCACAATGGTTATTTTAAGTAATTTATATTAGAAAAGCTGATTCATGAATGTGAGATGCAAGCAATTATTGTTGTGCCAAAGAAACTGACCTGAGGTTGTTCCTAGCTTCCTAGCACGATTATCTCAGTATGAGTCTTTAACTTATGCTGTCCTCCGCATCTGGGTCCTGGGCAGGTTGAGCAGTAGCTCTGTTAGCAGAGCAGAGCAAATGAGGACATAAATTCAGTGAAGGGGCATGAGTGGCATAAACCATGAACAGATGGGAGGGCAGGTCACTGCAGGGTGGTGTTGACACAAAAAATGTCACATTGCTATGACGCTCACTGGCGGGGAGAACAAGCTTGCACGAGGGTTAGCACCAGTGGGATGGACTAGGTGACCTCTTGGGGGCCCTGCCAGCCCTAATTTCTAGTATTCTCCATTGACTTGTAGCCTATGAGAATCTTTAGAATCCATGGGGTCTGCTCTGAGATGCTCATACTCCTGATTGACACCAGTGTCAGAGTGAGGAGAATGAAGCTCAAGCTTCTCCATCAGGCTTTCCTTGATAATGAAGGAAAGGTCTCGTGATGGAGCAGGGCAAACACAATTAATTCACATTGGTACATCCATTCCAGTCAAACACTTTCAGGCAACTCAGAACTCTTTTGAAGAACCAGGACTCCAATTCAAGCTGCTTGGAAAGGTGGTGGTAAAAGTCATGCCTTGAAGCCTGAGGTGGGTAGCAAGAAATGAAGCCCTCTGGCTCAGTCCCTGCCCTGTGTGGAGCTGTCAGGAATTGTAGTGACTGGGCGCTCTGCAGACCCTAGGGTGGAATTTGGCCCTTTGGGTCTGATTTTCAGAAGTGTTGAGCACTTCTTCACTTGATTTCAGTCTGACTGGTGGGTGCTCAGGACTTCTGACAACCAGGCCCCATGAGTTCAGAGAGAACTTGGGAGTGCTGCTGTCCAGAGTGGGAGATGGGCTCTAGCTGGAGTATCCCAGGGAAAGAACAAACAGGACACTAGATAAAGCGAGTGGGGTGACAGTAATTGACACAGCCAGTGGGAGACAGCATGGAATGTCCAGGTGAAGGAAATCCTCCAGCTGTCTGGACTGGCTTCCTCCACTGTCTCCTTTCGTCAACAGAGAGAGTAGGAGGACGGGTCTTCTCCTTGCCCCTCTGCTTTTTACAGGGGCTGACCTGCTTCCTGCAATTGCCTGTCACCAGCCAATTTTACCCTCCACAAAGGGTAATTCCAGGCTGGAAGATCATGCTGCCAGCCCACCATTGTGTCATGGCCCAGAAACATTCTCCCATGACATCCTAGCGGTCATTCACGAGGCTGTGACATGGCCAGGATTATCCCTTGTGTCATGGCCCTGTCCCCAAGCTGAGGCTTCCCCTTCTTTCAGAAACCAGTCTATCATCTCAAGAATAAACCAGTGTTTGGATCTCACCAGCAAGAGACAACAGACGCAAACTTCTCATGCCCAGGAGATGCTTCAGACCAAAGTCTTGCACCTAAAATGACAGAATAGGGAGGAAGGCATCCTGGACTGTCAATACAGAACTAGAAAAATGAACTCTACTTTGCTTTTCACAAGCAGCTAAGCACTGTGTACTCACCTCTCGACTGGGATCATTCCCCTTTGACTGATGGGGAAAATTAGGCAGAGAGGTTATATGTCTTGACCAAAGTCAGAGCTGAGATAGACCCCACATCCCCTGACTCTCAGTTCACTGCTCTAATCAATAGACACCAATACTCGCTACTTGCTAACTTACTGAGTATCTACTTGCAGTGAGCCATTTTGCTCTGCATCAAATGCCATGTATTCTACAGGCTCCACATGCATTCCCCGGAGAGGTTTTGGGTAGCTTTATCCACACTTGATAATAATAGTGCCCCAGGCAAGTTGCTGTTATCTTCACAATCATGTTACTTATCACTGACACAGCATTTTTCATCCATTGATCTCAAAGCACAGTAGCTGAGGCAGCCATTGCAGAGAGAAAGCAGAGGGGAAGATTTAATAGCAGAACCATGTTCCAGTGGGTTAGTCGCTTCCTACTGGGGAGATGCTTCGAAGGAGATGTAACCCTAGCATTGCATTGTCCTTTTCTGTTCACCTACCTGGCAGCACCAGCGGAGGTACAGGCTCCTAAGGGATGACATGGTGGATAAGTAACTGAGTCCAGTGTCTGTAATCCGCACACACCTGCAGACAGAAGCACAGTATTACAAGAAAGATGCCAGTAGGGAAGGGAGGCGGAAACCTAACATCTACCCCAAACAATTCATACCTCCTGAACTGGCTCCTCTGTGTTACTAAGCAAGAGGGGTCAGACAAATGGAACAGACACTCCCCACTAGCTTTCAGATGCACAGGCATCTGGTGGAGAACAGAAGTCCTCCCTGTGTTCTGATGCCTAGCTAACAGCAAGGCCTTCAGCCTCAGATATCCTCAGTATCAGGTGCTTCTTCCTCTTCCTTCACCTCCTGCACCTCCTACCCTCTGCTTAAAAGAATTACAGGATTGGGGGAACTGGGGGTCTTAATGAGCCTTTTGCCTCTAGCTCACATCACCTACAATACAGATCGTAGATGACTGTTTGGTGGCCCTGGGTAAAGTGAGTCTCACACAGAGGTGTCCACTTCACAAAAGCTACCACCGCAATTGTCAGCTTCTTTGGCTGTCTCATAAGAGAAGCTCAGATGGGCTGTGCATAGAGCCTGAACTTCATACCCATGTCACAGTGGTGTCAGTGATGTTCTCCTGGTATTATCTGGACCGGTGATCTGCTAGGATGCCAATCCTCGACTCTGGGAGCCAGCCTTACCCTGCTGCGCTGTGAGAACTCCCACTCCTGGGCTGTTCACGCACAGCCTCTATCATGTAAGCTTCTCCCAGCTAAGTGAGTGAGCACTTTTGGCCAGCTGCTGCTTGGATTGTGCAACCGAATGACATTAGCCAATATCTCCTGTCCCCAGACACAACCCTAGAAACCTCTGTCTTGCAGTGTCCAGTTATGCCCACTGGACGCTGCAAGCTTATATGAATTCATCAATTTAACAAAGAAATAGATATCTACTAGGCTTGTTGTCCTAAGGGGAGTCTGACAGGCTTCAAACCAAACACACTGCTTCAGGTAGAATAAACAGAAAGATTAATTAGCTACAAAGATAGATTTTAGGTGATTATAAATCAAAAAACAACAAGTCATATTTGGTCAAATGAAATAAAAGCAAAACGCATTCTAAGCTGATCTTAACACTTTCAATGCCCTTACAAACTTAGATGCTTCTCACCACAGGCTGGCTGGTTGCTCTTCAGCCAGGCTCTCCCCTTTGATCAGCGCTTCAGTCGCTTGGTGGTGGTGTCTGTAGATGGAGGTGGAAGAGAGAAAGCATGGGAAACGTCTCTCCCTTTTATCATGTTCTTTCTTCCCTCTTGGCTTTGCCCCCCCCCCACCACCACCTTCAGAGTCAGGTGAGCGTTACCTCATCATAGTCCCAAACTGACCAAGGGAAGAGGGGTGACTCACTTTAGAGTCCAACAGATCCTTTGTTGCTGCCTAGGCCAGTGTCCTTTGTTCCTGTGAGGCTGGGCTGGGTTTGTCCCATACATGCCCTGATGAGGTGTGAATTGCCCCTCTGCTCCTGGAGAGTTTTGCCTTGTTTTAAGCCATGAGGACACATTTTCAGCCTCATAACTACATATATGAAATTACAACTTATAAAATTACTAGAACAATAATGCTCAGTGCATCATGAGCCTTCCGAAGACACCCGACATCACAAACTTTGCATTGGATACCACACAATCATATTATAAGGATGAACATGGGGATGCAGAGTGTTCCCCCGAGGTACAGAGTGCCACAATGTCTACAGAGCAGTGACCAGGCAGTGTCCAGGGAAGGTTGCACTGATGATGCCCATGCCCTCCCCAATCTGTGGGGAAACAGAGAATTCATTCCCAGGGCTCTCTAATCAGCACTAGGCTCACAAAAAAAAAAAAAAAACCACCACTAGTCAATAGCAACCTCAGTACTGGTTGGCTCTCTATGGTCTCCACATAAGGAACTACCTGAATTCTACTTCTCCAATGCTGGGGAAAAGCAGGATTCTATGGTGACATATCCACTGGCACTTGAGGGCACACACACTGTGAGACACAGAACAGGAAGAACAGCCATGACTGTAGAGGGAGGGCCAGATCCCCAGGAAGTATAAGAGAGTGTAGCCCTCTGACTTCACTGGTGCTATGCCAGTTTATGCCAACTGAGGATCTGGATTAGAGAGGCTGTTGGAGAGACTCTATGACCCAAATCAGGTCAGACCAGGCAACCACAGCAGGTGCTTGTTGTTGCAGGATGACTGGTGCCTTTAAGGAGAGATGGGACCCACTATTAGTTAGCTGCTTATTAGTTTGAGTGGGCGGGACCTATGAAGGGTCAGATAGTAGTTTACGGGACACCTGGGCCTTATAAAAGGACTGAGAGAGATCAGTTTGGGACCTGAAACCACAGGGAGTAAACAGGGGTCCCCTTGAGCCAGGGTCTGAGAATGGTACTCCAAGGGAACCAGCCTATGTGCCTAGTGCTCTCTCCCAGAGCCAGAAAGACTCACAAAGGTAACTCAGAGGGCAGGTTGAAGAGAAGCCCCAGTGCCCAGAAGAACCTTTTGTTTGTTGGGACTTTTACATTTAGACTTTTGCTCTCTGGGGAGGGAATAAGTTTGTCTGGGACTTGGCCAGAGAGCTAAGGCATATCCCCAGCACAGACCAGTGCATGGAGAGGTGAGAAGACCTATCTTGGGAGAAGGAAACTGAGGCAGGGAATGCGGGCAGTGCCACATTCAATAGCTGGGGGCATTTTGGAGTAGCCACACCCTATGATAGTCTGGCATTCTTTACTTGAATTTTCTTCCACTATACTTACTGGTCAACACACTCTTCTCTGCCCATTGTCACCTGCATCTCCCTTTGGAGATGAGCCCTCCATTCAATAGGAGATCCTTTCTTTCTTTGAGATACTGGCACTGGATGCTTTATACCATCAGGACTGGCCCATTTCCTGGCTTAAGGAAGAAGTCTCCAGGAAGCATCCCCGTACAAGGGAGTCCTGTGGCTAGTGGGAGGAGGAATCAGGTCAGGTTGGGCCTCCAGAATGGGGCCAATCCTAAACCATCCTGCTTTCACTCCCCGGCAGGGACCTCCTTCCTGCCTCAGAGGCCTGTGCCCTTTTCCCCTATGTTACACAAGAAAGCAGCAGGGGATGGGTGGCTCAGAGAGCAGAGACTGTGAGAGGTAGGGAGCATGGAAGATGTTGCATGTGGAAGAAGAGGCTGGCAGGATAGGTGTGGTGGGAAAGGAGCATGCAGCAAGCTGCCTGCTGAAGGCTTCTGACATGACATAAAAGTGAGAACGGAAGAGCAGGGAGGGAGGAAGGAGACTGTCCAGCACATATAAACTTGCTCCCATCCTTCACCTTAGCAACCTCAAGTCCAGATCCTCAGCTGTTGTAAATCAACAAGGCTCCACTGAACAGTGTTCTGATAGCTTACAGCAGCTGTGGATCTGGCCCCGGAGCTCCAAGGATCAATGGGATTGACAACATTATGCAAGGCACCGCATAGTGCTCTCAGCATCATGCACAATCTGTTTAGCAGAGGTGGGCTAGTGGGTGCAGAGCAGATGCAAACCAGGCAACTGCACGACTCCAAACAAACCCAGGAGGTTCAACAAGTTTGGTTCATTCCCCCTCCTCATCCCACCACTTTTTCATCATGCTCTTTGCATTGGCATGAACTAATGCACAAGAACTCCATGAGGAAGGCTCTTTAGATACTTCTGGCCTCAGAGCAAGATAGCTAGTGAAGATAGCTGTGCTCTTTTTGAGTTTCCAGGTCCAGGTCTGCTGGCTCCAGAGGAGGTTCAGAGAAGTGAGGGTTGAGCCTTCACACTTGGAAAAGATGGGGATCAATATGAAAATTGAAAGGTGAATAAGGAATTGGTTAAAAGGGAGACTACAGCGGGTCATACTGAAAGGTGAACTGTCAGACTGGAGGGAGGTTACCAGTGGAGTTCCTCAGGGATCGGTTTTGGGACCAATTTTATTTAATCTTTTTATTACTGACCTTGGCACAAAAAGTGGGAGTATGCTAATAAAGTTTGTGGATGATACAAAGCTGGGAGATACTGCCAATTTAGAGAAAGACTGGGATATCATACAGGAAGATCTAGATGACCTTGTAAACTGGACTAATAGTAATAGGATGAAATTTAATAGTGAGAAGTGTAAGGTCATGCATTTAGGGATTAATAACAAGAATTTTATTTATAAGCTGGGGACGCATCAATTAGAAGTAATGGAGGAGGAGAAGGACCTTGGAGTATTGGTTGACCACAGGATGACTATGAGCTGTCAATGTGATATGGCCGTGAAAAAAGCTAATGCAGTCTTGGGATGCATCAGGCGAGGTATTTCCAGTAGAGATAAGGAGGTTTTAGTACCGTTATACAAGGCACTGGTGAGACCTCATCTGGAATATTGTGTGCAGTTCTGGTCTCCCATGTTTAAGAAGGATGAATTCAAACTTGAACAGGTACAGAGAAGGGCTACTAGGATGATCCGAGGAATGGAAAACCTGTCTTATGAAAGGAGGCTCAAGGAGCTTGGCTTGTTTAGCCTAACCAAAATTGAGAGGAGATATGATTGCTCTCTATAAATACTTTAGATAAGCTATTACCAGCAGGAGAGTGGGTTTGTGTGTGTGGGGGGGGGGGTGAGAAAACCTGGATTTGTGCTGGAAATGGCCCAACTTGATTATCATACACATTGTAAGGAGAGTGATCACTTTAGATAAGCTATTACCAGCAGGAGAGTGGGGTGGGAGGAGGTATTTTTTCATGCTTTGTGTGTATATAAAAAGATCTTCTACACTTTCCACAGTATGCATCCAATGAAGTGAGCTGTAGCTCACGAAAGCTTATGCTCAGATAAATTGGTTAGTCTCTACGGTGCCACAAGTATCCCGCTTTCCCACTTACCTCAGGGCTTTGGTCTCCTTCCCCCGGTGAACCTAGTTTAAAGCCCTCCTCACTAGGTTAGCCAGCCTGCTCGCGAAGATGCTCTTCCCTCTCTTCGTTAAGTGGAGCCCGTCTCTGCCTAGCACTCCTCCTTCTTGGAACACCATCCCATGGTCGAAGAATCC